CTTTAGAGTTGTCTGCTCCACTCTTCATTAATAAAGTTTTCCTTTAATAATGACAAACTATTAATGACCAACATGTTTCTTTATTGAAACCATTACAGATTAGATTTTTTGTCTTGTTTTGATTATTTGAGATAGGAGAAGTTGAATGGTTATGTAAGTTGCATGGTAATGGATTGGATAGAAGAGAGTGGTTATGTATTGAGTTGAGATTCTTAATTGAGATATTAGAGTTGTTAAGATTTGTATTCATAAGATGAATTAATAAAGAAAGGGGGTGAAAGCAAACTCTGATTCGGAGAGCATCTCTTTAGTTATAAGGGATTCAGGAAGTTTGTTGAAGAAAAAGATTTTGTGAAGTTTTGTTTAGTTAATGAGGAGCTTAAGAACCTTCTAGCCTTTAGGATGGTGACGAGATTGTCTAATTTATTGAATGTAATTTGGTCTCCTAAGAGTTTTTACAGTGTCCTAAAAGATATTTAACTTAATACTGGCCTGGCTGTAGATGTGGAAGTAGTATCAGATTCTTGAGACCTAATTATAAATCAGTTGGTTTATCTTGTATTTCTCCTAGAAGCAAGAGACTTTTTGTTTTGCTTTTTACTTATTGTTCTATAAAATAAAGTAAAGTGTTAGGATGTAATGTTGTAGAAATATATACCTTTGATTTTGGATGTCTTTTGAATAATGGATCTTTAGTTATAGGTGTTTGAAAAAGATAGAAGATTTTTATTTTTATTTTTTCTTAATTAGGAAATTTGAAATAGATGGAAAAAAGCTTTTTAATAATTTATTGTTTTTTTTATAAGTATAATTAATTAATTATTAATTATATTTTAAATATAAAAACCTTTTTTTTAAATAATTTTTTTAATTTACATTAAATTAAATAAATATTAATAAATATTTATTATTATTAAAGTTTTTTTGTTAAGTTTTATTAAAAAGTAAATAGTTTAATATTAAGTTAATTGAAATTTAATAATATTATTTTAATATATTTAAACCATTTATTTATTTATATTATTTATATCTTTATTTTTTAAATATTTTATATTATTTATTATATTTCAATAATTAAATAATAATAATAAAATCAAATTTTATATTTATATATTTAAAAATAAATTTATTTAAAAAGGTTAAAATTATATTTAAAAATTTTTTATAAATTAAAAAATCATTGTTATTAAATAACATATTTAAATAATTTATTTAAAATTGAATAAAATTGAATAAAAGTTATATTAAGAATAATATTAAAATCAGTTTTTTTTAAATTTTTACAAAATACAAATATAAATAATTTTAATGAAATAATTTAAATACAATAAAAAATATTTTATAATTATTTTATAAACCAAACAATTTTTTTTTTAATTTTTTTTAATGATTAATTAATAATTTATTAAAAAAACTTTGATATTATATTATTTAGATTTTAAAAAAGATATATATTTAAAGCTTTATATTAATTAATTACTATTTATTAAGTTATAATAATAACAAAAATACCAGTTTTTTTGTTATATATTATATATATTTATTATAATAAAAAACAATAACAATAATAATAAATAATTATTTTTTATAATAAAAAACAACAACAATAATAATAAATAATTATTTTTTTGATTATTTTATCAAACAATATTATAATAATTATATTTAATTATTTGAAATTAAGAATAAACTTTTTAATTACAAAAACAATATACTGTATTTTATAAACAAAATTTATGTAAATTAGACAATATACAGTAAAACTTGTAATTAAATAAAAACAAATCTAAAGTTATTAATTAAATAATTTAATTTCTAAATAAATATTTAATATAATATTTGTTTTGCTCATATTTAATAAATTAATACAAAAATAAAATATAATAAAAATCACATGAAGATTTATTTTTAATTTACAATAGATTGCATCATTACTTATATATTTGTACATAATTCGTATTCGGACAGTTCTATTTTACCAGAATTTAATTAGTCTGTATATAAATAGTCATATTGTGAATTTGATCTTAGAATTCATCGAAAAAGAAACTTCTATCTTATGCGTTATTTACGGTTAATCCCGAAAATACTTATGTAACCAACATAAAGAGACTTGGGTTTAAGGCTGTGTTGGTTTCATTTTCAAGCTGAGTTCGAAACCATGTCCTTATTTGATCAATCCCGTACCTAAAAACCGTTTTTTTTTCCTTCACGTGACACATTATTGCGGTGGGGTTTTTGTCGGACAGTGCATATTACTTTTTTTGTTGACCCATTAGAGTAGATAATAAAACATTATCCACGTGCTATCGTAAAATAAAACTATTTGGAAATCGAAATCGATGTGTAGTCTGGCATGATTTATGCAGGTTTATGTTTATCGTTATTGTTTACCAGATTAAATGTCGATGCTTAAATTTTCTACATAATATACGTAGAATATGAACATGTGAAAATAAAAGGTTTCACTCTTACTATATTATGTTTTAAATTGTAATGAGAAGATGATTATCGGTTAAGAATATTGTTCCCGAGGTTGTTTGCCATCCTTTGTTCACAGTATTCATTAGAGATATAAAAAAGAAAAAATTTTATTACTTCTTTACATAACTGCCGTTTTAGTATAACAAGTCTGAGAAAGAAAATGAATTAAGCTGATCGATCCTGAACTGGACCTTGAAAAACTAGTCCGAAAAAAGGGAAGTGAACTACCGGTATCATTTATGCATATGTAATAACCAATAAAGATTACTAAATTTTTCGTAATTGCAAAATATTACGTATAGATGATGAGATCTTGATCTAGATTCAAATTCACACGAAGGATACGCCCACATTAATAATTACGAATTGGTACAAAATTAACTCTCACGGTCCGTCCTTTCTCTTTTGACAAAAACAGTATAAATTAGAGGACATCTTGAGCAAGCAAAAAATCAAAATTCTTGACTGTAAATTCAACAACCAAAAAAATTTTCTTCTCAACTGAAACTCAGCAATATGACTCAAGGAGTTCTTAAAGTTACTGTTGGTGAGTATTCCATATCTTGTCTTGCGCGTAAATTCATTTTAGCTAACGAAGAAATAATTATATAATAATTGAAATATATAGTCGGCGCGAAAAATCTTAAGGATGAAGACGCCATCGGAAAAAGTGACCCTTTTGTAGAACTTTGGATCGACCACAACTATAAACAAAGAACTACAACCAAGCAAGGAACTTTAAATCCAGTATGGAACGAAACCTTTACCTTGTAAGCAATTAATTTTACGAGATATGTCAACTTGAATTTCGCCGAATAACGTTTTTCTTTTTTCTTTAGTAATCTTACATCCAGTAATCATACTCTTCATCTGAGAGTTTTGGATGATGATACTGTCAAGGATGATAAGGTATTTTGTCATAATATGCTTGTATTTTCATTCGAACAAATTTACTAAATTATATTTTTCTTTAGATCGGTGATACCAAAGTTGATCTTAAAGAAGTGATCCAACATGGTCGCGTTGATAAGGAATATAAAATTCCAGCCCTTTTCGGCCTCTCGAATCATGGTTTCGTTCACTTGATCTTAGAGCACACCCATCACCATTAAGCCGTTCTTTATATAAATGCTTTTCGAAATTTTTCTTTTACGTGTATTTTGTACAATTTGTGATTGTAAAAAAAAAAGATATTTATAAATAACAAACATTGATTGTAAATTCGATCGTTCAAATAAACTAGCTCATTTTAAATTCTCCCAAAGAATATATTGTATATTTCGATAGTTTAAACTTCAAGTGTGCCAACACAAGTATTTTAAGAAGGCATGTTCCTTGTTTTCTAGACATGAAAGTCGTATACGCTTTCAGAAATCAATGTTTATTCTATAAATAACTCATGTGTTAAATAGATACTTCGGACTAGCGCGTAACACCAAGATATCTTTCGCTTTAGTCAATCAAACAAATAAGCCATGCTACCTTTCTCTCAAATCTATTTATTGCTCCATTAACATAATAATAGATCTACTCGAAATGCAATGATTGTCATTAGTTTAAGTAAATCACCATTGGTATATTTGTTTTTTTGACGGGTCAACTCATTAATGTCGATCAATGATTTTACGCATCAAGAACGGTAGTTTTAATCATACAATGGTTTGAAAAATACTAATACCGATTCAATTTTCGAATGTATATTGTTGTGATGAAATCACGGTGAGTCAGTCACTTCTATCTGTCACATGCCATGTAACGATTGGGCAGTTACTTCAAAATCTATCTATCAATTTTGCATTTTAAATTTTCGTTAATTCGGTTAAGTCATTACAAGGTAAAGTTTATTAATAAAAATATTTTTTAATTAATGATTGTGTAATATCTATTCTAATTGTTTCTTATTTTTGATTTAAGTTACTTTATATATTATATTTAATATATTTTTTATATCTAATACAAAAAATCTTTTTTAAATATATTCTTTCTAAATGTATACCTTCTTTAAATGCATTCTTTTTTATAGTTCCAAGTTGGATCAATAATATTAAATACACTATCTATATTTTGATAGTGCAATAAGTTTTAAAAACTTTTATATTAAATGTATTTTATATATAATTTATAAAGTTAATCAAAATTAATATAATTGAGCAAAATTAAATAAATAACCAAAATTAATATAGTTAAACAAAATTAAGATAATTGACTAGAATTAATATAAAGTCAAACAAAATTAAAATAATTGACTAGAATTAATATAAAATTAAATAAAATTAAAATAATTAATTAAAATCAATATAAAGTTAGACAAAATTAAAATAATTAATTAAAATTAACAAAATTAAGCAAAATTAAAATTAAAATGGTTAATTAAAATTAAAAAAAATTTTTTTTAAATATAAATATTTACTTTTAATTCTAAAAAAATATATTTAAAAAAAGTTTTCTATATTTTTTTATATTTAAATTTATTATATCTGATATATTTATTATATTATTATTATTATTTATTATTATTTATTTAGACTTTTTTTTTATAACAATATAAATAATTATTTTTAAAAATAAATTATAAATTTTTTAATTTTAATTAAAAATTAAAAATTAAATTATAAAAATAATAAATATAAAAATTTATATAAAAAAATAATAAAATTTGATTATACAATGTGTAACAAAAATAATTACATTAAATTTTTTTTTTTTTGCTTCTAATTAGACTGCAAGAAAAAAATAATTACATTAATATTTTTTATTATAATTTAATAAATAATAATTAGATTGAAATAAAACTTTAAATATATATATTTTATAATTTAATAAATAAAATATTAATTTTTAATTAATAAATTATTTAAAAATACTAATTTAAAAATATTATTTAAAGTTAAAAAATTTTTTAAAAAATTAAATATAAAAATGAATAAAATTTTTAGTTTATAAAAAAATTATAAAACTTTTTTTTTTACTATTAAGGTAAGACATGTCTCATGATCTTTATTTTATTATTTTTTTTTTTTTGTAGGTAAACATCATTTCTTTATTTGATTTGTATATATCAAGGTATACATCATGAAAGAAACAA